TTTATACCAATTGTCCAAAAATACTCTAAGAATAACAATAAAGGAGGGAAATGTGTTCTTTTCCTTTTTGTTTGTTGTCTTAGCATTCACAAAAGACACTACTGATATAGGAAACTTCTATAGGACATATTGTAGAGTCAAGAGTTAATTTTGATGAGGAATTATGAATGTTAATGACATTAAATATCATTGAATCACATATTAAGAAATCCTTGTTTTGTTTTGGAACGGAAAATGCATTCTCTTTGTAACGTATTTTACTTTGTGTTTCTTGCATTAAAATAAATGAATAAGTGGGAATTAATATCACAGGATCAAGCATGATAATGGGAAGATTTAAATCAATTTAAAGGAGTGAGGAATCAGGTACAATGTTTTTAATAGAATTGAGGAAAGCAAATGTTGAAGCTTCTTGTTTTGCATATTCATAGGTTAAAGTCACCTTCTTCTCCCCCAGACTTACTAATATAGATTTCGTTTCTCCTGCAATCCAAACGAAAATAATACTTAAATATATCATCAACCTAAGCTTGCCAAGTTTTGATAATATACATGTGTACTTATCTTTTATTTCTCATCATAATTTTATGTTGACCCTTCTTTTTAACAAACAGGCACATGACCAGATTAAAAATAAAAGGGGTGATTTGTCAAACTAATAAAATAAATGAAAAAATCTTTTGGACAAAATAATATTTTACTTATGTTTATTTTATTTTTTTGAACTTTTTTACCATTTTAATTTTTTATACATTTTAATTAAAAAATGAAAAAGGAAATCTCTTTATTTTAAAATAAAATATTATAATTTGTTTTTATTTCTAACCAAATTCTGGGTTGATTTTTTGGTAATTTGGCATTACCATTGAATAAAAATATAGAGGGAGAAATAAATATTGGATCCAAGAAATTTGGTGGAATATCAATGCCAAATAAAGTGAGTGGTCCAAGAAATGAAGTTGTATGCATAGTGGCTTGTCGTCAACATATGTTTTAAAAGGTTGTTGGTGGTTCAAATGAAAAAAAATGCTTTCATAAAAACTAATTGAATTTTGACTTATTTTTTTATATTTGATTAGTGTATGGAGAATAATTGTTAATGCTTCTTATTAAAAGAAAAATATTTTAGAGAAAATATTTTTTATTTTTAGTTTAACACTAGAAAATACTTTTTTAAGAAAATAATTTCGAACCCAGTCACATAAGAATTAAATATTATGAATTTGAATTATTTTGTTAAAATAATTTTGACGGCAGTGATGGTTGGGGATTTCTGGGGCAGGGGTAGGGATAGCGTCAAAAATGAAATTCTTAAAATTTGATTTCTTTCTTTTCAATTAAAAAAAATGATGGGGTGGCCTGGGTGGGAGAGGGGGTGGTGGTAGGGTGTGGTGTAAAATATGATTTTTTAAAAAAAAAAATAAATAATTTTTAAAAATTATTGTTTTAAGAAAACTTTATTTTGATGAAGGGAGACACGTGGGTGTGGGAGCTACCGTAAAAATGATTAATTTTTTTTAATAAAAACAGTAATTGATAGAATGAGAAAGTAAGGAGCGTGTATGGGTTAGGTTGTTAATATAAGTAATAGATGGTAGATTGAAGAAGGTATGTACCCTTCATCTTTGACATGAGTTGAGCAACCCAATGCTGACAATTGGTCCAACTGTAGTCGGCCAACAACACCACTTGTTGCACCTACAAAATTAAATTCAAAATATTGTACATAATTAAAGAAGAAATTAAAGATGGAGAAAATAGATAGTTCCAACTTACAAGTGGTATGGAGAAGGATTCAATTGAAGCGAGTGTAGGATTGGGCATCTTCTCTTCTCTCCTATTCAACTTATAAAACATGGATTTTCACATTTATTTATCAACACCATTACCACCAATGACAGATAAGTCAACTCTCAGATCATGAGATCTGTACAAAACACCCTTATACATACATGCCTTGACAAAATATGCTTTCAAGCAACCTACTACTTATAATATGCTTTCAACTTCAATTACATTACTAATTAATAAGGATTGTTTACAACTTCTGCCACGCCCACCCCTATTGCTATTACTAAATTACTTCTTATTATTCATTCTGGTCTATTCCTCTTCAGGCCACACCTCAATTTCCGTCGTACTACTTTCAATAACACCATTACCCTCTACGACAAACATTGATTCTAGTCAAGTAGGTCCCACCTACTTATCAAACCTTTCTATATAGGTAGCTTTTTTTTTTGTTTTTCTGTCTAGTGTTTGATATATACATTGGAGCTCTGGCTAAATCAGGTCGCGCTCTGTAGGGCTCATTTGCGGGTGACGCTCCTAATTTCTCTATACCAAAAGCTCGTATCCGAGACCTCAGGTTAAGGGTGAAGCACTGACATCCTTGCACCACAACTTATGTTCATATATAGGTAGCTTTAATTAGTCTCAAATTGCTCCCAACTTATATCACCTTTTTTTTTAGTAACCTAAAAAGAATGACACATTTTTTATATTAATTAATAATTTAATTTTTTAAATGTTCATTGTATCCTTAATATAAAATAGAATTAATGACTTATCACTATATATACTAGAAGGGAACGCTCGTGCTAACATAAGCACAATTAGTCTATTACTCAATATATAGGCAAAGTATTGTTGGAAACTATTCACTTATATAAGTGACAAGATACAAGTATTAACTAATTCAAGTTATGTGTTTGTTCTAATAAAAGAGGTTGTCTTAAAAAATATAAAAACAAAGTTTGTTCATTCAAGCATCTCCAAACTATACACCCTACCAATCCATCAATAAAGAAAAAGACATGAAATATTAACACAAATTAAACAACTTCAAAAGAAAGAGAAAGAAAACAAGAATAATCAAGGAGGTGAAAGAACATTAAAATTTTACAATCTATCAGTCAAATTTTAGTGGTGTCACAACTTTCACAGGGCCCATCAACTCTTCAAACTTTTGTTACACATTTATTTTTCAAGCTCATAAATTATTGGGAGAATTAGCAATTAAGTCATAATACATAACATATTTAGTGAAAATGAAAATGCTTTACAATATTTATTTTAAAATGTCAGAATGACAATATTTTAACAAATAAAATATATTCTTATATAATTTATTTGTCTTCCTTTTATTTTTCAAATTAGACCCACTTTTTGACTAAAAATAATAGACCCCATTACCCTTTCACTCTCTTAATATTTTCACCCAAATTCTATCATTTCTCTTTTTCTCTTTAAATATTTCTTTCATTATTTTATATCCTCAAGTAACTTTGCCCCTTGTCTTTTTCTTAAATAAAAATCTTCCAGTTTTTAAAGAAATATTAGAAATCATTAAAAAGATTTTCAACAATTGAAGTGTTGAGATAAAAAGTGTTTTATATGCTTTGTATGTTGGATCTAGATATGGAAGAAGTATCATTTTTGAAGTGTCAATATTAGGATAAATCGCTCGAATGTATTGATTTGGATCTGGAACATGTGTCAGGTGAAGAAGTGTCATTTTCCAATGTCAATATTTGAAAGAATGATAAAATTGTTGAAGATCAGGGTGATGAAAAATAATTTTACCAATTGTTGCATTTTGTATATAAACTATCAAATTTTATTCTTTACTATTTTTATTGTGTTTGCTGTTGCATTTTGTACTCATTGCAAAATTCATGTGTATTTTGCTAAATTTTGAGTTTTTTTTGGGGGAGGGGGTGGGGGGGTGGGTAACTTGTATTTATTTTGTAAGTGTGACTCATTTGAAATTATGTATATGTTTGATTTTGTATTAGATAAACATCTTTATTGAATTTTGTACGCTATTCTAAATTAAGCTTCATACAATTTTTTTGTATATATTCTAACTGTACGCCATTAAGTTTCATATTTTTTGTGATCATTTTGTATTTCAATCTCATTTTGTATGCCAACAAGTTTTAGAATTTTTTGTGTTCACTTTGTATTTCAATATCACTTTGTATGCAAACAATTTTTGTATTTCTTTTATATTTTGTATTAATTCTAAATGTATGCTAGCAAGTTTTAGATTTTTCGTGATCACTTTGTATTTCAATCCCAAATTGTATGCCAACAAGTTTTGTATTTTTTTTTATTCTGTAGTCATTCTAAAATCTTCTTCACTGCCAGCAAAAATCTTAAATCAATAGACTTCAATTAGACATAGATTGAATATTTTCAATGAAGAGTTAAAAATTAATATTGAAAATTTGAGGTTTAAGGGAGAGAGAAGTAATGTCAATTTTGAAATCTAACACATATAATAGGAAATAATTTTTTTAAATTTTAATCTCAAAAATGAAAGATGAAAAGAGCATAAGAGCAGTGAAAAGAAAAATCTAGGCCGATTTAAAGCTAGCTCTAAAATTATGATGAGTAAGTATTTGTTGGTTTAAATTTAAAATTACCTTATTTTAAATATTATTTTCCTTGATTTTCTCCGTTCTGCTAATAACTAATTGTATTTTTTTCAATTAAACAAATGACAAAAATATATAAATCAACAATATAACAAACTAAAAATAGTGACATCTTTAATAAATATTAAAAGTTATGCTATATATGATGCCCCATGAAATGTTAAAATATTGTTTTGAAAATTTTCCCTAAATTATTATTGGTCGTTCCTGCAAGTTATTGGAAAAAGTGTTTCAACAATTGATGCTAAAAATTATATACTGTTATAAAGTATTTGTATTATAGTGAATGTCTATCATGTGGAGTCCTTTTTAGGATATGGTTAAAGAGTCCTACTTGGGGACCAAGTTAAATTTCTCCTATAAATAGAGTGATCCTCTTCATTGTAAATTAATTCATCAAGAGAAATAACAAGTCTTCTCTTCTTTTCTCTCTAGTTTCTTCTTCTTATTCTATAGTTTTATAACACGTTACCAGCACGATACTCTAATTTCTCAAAAGTGAAGGTTAGATTTGAAGAATTAATAAAGGTATTATTTATTCTTTTGTTTTTAATTTTAATGGTCAATCTTACAAAAGTACAGTTCACTGCCCTTCAAAGTTCGGGCAGGAACTACCTCTCATGGGTGTTGGATGCTGAAATCCACCTTGATGCAATGGGTCTTGGAGACACCATAAAAGAAGAAAATAAGGCATCAAATCAAAACTGTGCACGAGCAATGATATTCTTGTGTCATCATCTTGACGAGATTCTGAAAATCGAATATCTGACAGTTAAGGATCCACTTGTTTTGTGGAAAAACCTAAAAGAAAGATTTGACCACTTGAAGATGGTCATACGTCCAAAGGCACCATATGATTGGATGCATCTAAGGCTACAAGACTTTAAGTCTATACATGAGTATAATTCTGCCATGTTCAGAATCACTTCTCAATTGAAATTATGTGGAGAAACGGTTAGTGAGATTGATATGACGGGAAAGACATTCTCCACTTTCCATGCCTCGAATGTGCTCTTGCAGCAACAATATCGAGAGAAAGGTTTCAAAAAGTATTCTGAACTAATTTATCATCTTCTTGTGGCCGAGCAAAATAATGATTTATTATTGAAAAATTATGAGAATCGGCCTACTGGATCTGAACCACTTCCTGAAGTGAATGAGGCGTACGCCCACCATGCTAGGCGTGGAAAGGTCGCAATCCTAATCGTAGACGTGGACGTGGACGTGATCGTGGACGTGGTCGTGGACGTGATCGTGGACGTGGTCGTGGTCATGATTATGGTCCAGAACGTAATTTTATTCCTGGCATTAATCATTCATCAAATAAAAAGGAAAAAAGAAAGGATGAGAAACGTGAAGCATCTAGGGAAATATTTAATAAATATTAAAAGTTATGCTATATGTGATGCCCCATGAAATGTTAAAATATTGTTTTGAAAATTTTCCCTAAATTATTATTGGTCGTTCCTGCAAGTTATAGGAAAAAGTGTTTCAACAAATGATGCTAAAAATCATATACATCGTTTTGTATTTTATTTACAAAGTCAAAAAGTCAGTAATCTTAATTTACTGCACATAAGACATTCTATCTTATAAATCTAATAAAACAATAATGAACACTTCTAAATAAATGAAATGTGATGGTACCCGAGGGATAGAGTAAATGAATCAGGTGAAGTAAGCAAATTGAAGTCAAAGTGAATGTATCAATTACATGGCCATTATATCAAATATTTGCCAATTCTAACCAAAAAGAAAGTGTTAGAGTAAATTGGCAAAACTTTATAGAAAATGACCTTTTATTTTGTGAATCTTGCGTGTGCTTCTTCATGTCGCTTCCCCTTTCCATTTTGTCGTCCCTCTCATCTCACTTTCTGTTTTGTTATCCTCTCTTCCCAATACCATTTTTATCCAGCTTTATCCGAAAAAGAGGTAATTGACATATTAGTTTACTTAATTTTGGAACAAAATCACTTGGAGAACAGTAATGTAGGTAATAAACATGAACAATACTTAAGACTCTAGGAGCGTTCAATTTGAATACAAATTATGTTGATATTAGTTATGCTGGGATGAGTTATACTGAAATAAGTTATGTTGAAATTAGTTATGCTGAGATTAATTTTTATTGTTTTTTTGGTTTGTCATATTCAAACTTATATTCATGGCATAATTTCTAAGAATAAGTTGTTTGTTTACAAAAATACCCTTCATTTTTTTTTTTAACATTTTCTTTGTAAATTATAGTTATTCATTCTTTATAATCAAATTTCTCACCTTATTTAGCTTATATATCTTTGGGTTTTCATTTATATAATTGTGCCGTGTGTTTTTAAAACTAAAATTTCATCTTGTTTGACTTTAAATAAAACTTCCATCTTGTTTAGCTTAAAAACAAAATTTTCAATCATTTAACTTAAAAATAAAACTTTCATCTTATTCAATTCAAAAAAATAATAATTAAACATTCATCTTATTTAGCTTAAAAATAAAATTGTCATTTTCAATTTAAGAAAACTAAAAGAAATTTTATTATTAAAGTTATCTACATTAATTGATATATAAAATATTATCTTAAGTGAGTAATAAACTCTTTAATTAAAAATATGCAATTTTGTAGTGAAGTGAACATTTTGAGAGAAATTAAAATATAAATAGCATTAAGAATTAGGACTATAAATTCAACTCATATTATATTCACGAATAAAATTATATCTATAAAAATATATTTTTTTAATAGAAAAATATATTATCATAAAAACGAGGAATAATTAATCTTGAAAATGTTATTATAATTATTGTTAAAAATTATGTTAGTATACATGAATGTAAAGTGTTGTATTAAAGGTACTTTTGTTACTTTACCTAATTTTAATCTCACGATAAGTTATCTTGAAATTACTATCCCACCCCCAAGAAGTGATAACATATCGCAAAACTAATTGTTAATCCTTGCCCTGGCATAAGTTATCCTACCCTTGGCAACCAAATGACAAATTAATGACCACTTAAAAATTATACAAGAATTAAATCCTCTTGTCCATTACACAAAACGGCCCCTTAAGTATTAGTGATCTTGTCCATCACACCAAACAGCCCCTTAAGTATTAGTGATCGTTAAGTAGTAGAAAAAGGAAGAGGTTATACAAATCAATAGAGTTCAAACAACAACATATGTTATAAGATTTTATCACTATCACATGAAGATAGAAATACTCTTTCTGAAAGATTAAATCACGAAATACTCTTTCTGAAAGATTAAATCCGAAATACTCGGTAGTTATTGTTGAATACTTAATCTGAACTACAACTTTAGAAATAAAGAAAATGAACTAACCACATACATCCATGTTAACCAACACTCATTCTAATACATAAATCTCTCCCAAGTAGCAAAAAAAGAGCAGATGGGGATTAAAAGAAATTAAGAAAATGAGAACCGATGTAGTTCTCAAAGAGTTAAAAAGAGGGACAACTAATTTGAGTAGTAGATTCAGATTGATGGTGATCTACTATACAATTTCTTTCAGGACACATAGTATTGATATTTGCAAGTATGAAAGACTGAAGGATTAAACAGAGGAGATGACTCTTAAGAGAGAACTCATCAAGAACATAACAAAATTGGTGTGATAATTTAACAAACTCAGCGAGGCTAATTGATGAAGGAAGTATATTAACTATATTCATTTCAGTACACTTATTGACTTAATGTATCCCAAGTTCGAATCTGAGGCCTCTATTTGAGGATGTAGTAAAATAACATTTACCATTAGAAATAATTGAGCAGCTTGTGTTATCCCTCTATCTTTACCTGAATCAACTATGACTGTCGTGTTACGCAAGTTCGAATATGCTTTAAGGTGGAGGAATCTTAGTAGACTTCTATTAGAACATCATTTTGAGCTACCTAAATGAATGAACAACATGTAGTTTTTTGATGCAGAAAAAAAATCCTACCTAATAAAGAGAGATAAATCAAAGAAGCTCGATAATCAGTGTGTCCTAGAGAGTTACATTTCCAAAAAATGAGAGTAGACACGCTGTCAAATTAATTTAACACTGATGCTACATTGAAAGTGAAAGTGTCCATGTAACGTGGATACAATTCATCAAGTATACACAAAACAATCAGCAACTAATGTCAGTGATGTGCAACAAATTCATATAACATAGCCACCAAGTTAACCATAAAATACATCAAAACACATGATTAGGAGTTCATCTTACTTCACTTTTGAGTTCCCCCAGCTTTATGCATCGAAGCCACATTTTTACTGAATTTTCTCTTCAAATGCAGTAAAGTAGCTCAAAGAACAGAAAGCAAAGTTACAACTGACAACAACATCGAGAAAGAGGCTACTATGGACTGTCAATTTTTACATGTGAATCAAAAAGTTAAGCTCACATAACAACGGGTAACATACAAAATTCATATTAAATTTCAGATCGAACATCATTTATCATGCTAAATCAGTCTAGCTGTGCAACTTTTAAGTAATTTGGATACATTCTAAAAATTGGCTAAACTATTGATAAACATACTATCTAATGCTGGAAATATGACATAGTACAGTGGGTATTGATGAATTTACAACCATCGCTACATTTTGATACTCATTGAACAGAGAAACTGATGGAAATGGACCAGCCAAGCTATGCCTAATGACACCATCTCTATCTTTTAACTACTTTGTACTTGGCTTCTGATTGACGCTCAGCTCAGGTAAAGCACAAGAACAATTAGCAGTAAATTGTAATTGTATATTACCAGTAGTCATATACTCAGGAGCAGCACAACAGAAGGTACCCATTTTACTGTGTATTGGCTCAACTTTGCATTGTAATTCTGTAAATTCATGGTATGCACAAATTATAAGAGGGCAACAAAAATATTGTTAAAACTTGTAGAAGACTAAATAAAGTAAAACTACATACAGTAACAAGAAAAATGTTAGATGATTTGAAATCCTGATATATAATTTTAGCTTCTGAGTTGTGGAGATATGTCAGTACTTTAGCAGTCTCGAGAGTAACCTTTATTCGGAGATTCTATGATAGTGGTTGGAAATAAGCAGTCCTCTGTTCAAGATGTACCAAGGTTAATTCAATGACATTACAGGAATGATATTAGTGGATGTCCTCAAATTAGATGTGGATTCAAGATCTCAACTTTATGAATTTCTATAATGAACTAAGTTCATAGAAAAATGAATTTCTTATACACGGCTTAGAGAAAGCAATTGGGTTCCTATGGATCTGCATATCATATTGTGGATCCGTTCTTGCATCAAATATGCAGTTATGATTCCACACAAACTGTACTTACTTCTGATTTCTGAATAGATGATTTTCCAAACTTCCCCTCGACATGAATTCACTCACCAGAATCTTACATTGGCTCAGGTTAGAGATTCTCACCTGTACAGAGAAAACAGTTAATCAACTTATCAAGATCAAGGATTATAGGAAAGCTTCAATGTATTTAAAAATCATCGAAAATTGTAAAGGGAAGAGTTTATATACCATCATTCCTTGTGACCTTGAAAGCTTTCTTCAAGAATTTCACTTTGACTTTGAGGAGTCAACGGAGCCGATAAATATGAATGTGATCGTGGAAAAGACACCTAATTATTATGTATCTTTGTATGTCTTCTCTCTATTCCTAGTAAAAGTTATACCAGTTTACATCAATGAATTAATAATTAAATAAGTTATAATATGACTATCTTATAGCTTATTTTAAACTAAACACGTATATCTTCATTACGTTTTTCAAAATTTAGTAGAACTAGAAATTTATAATTGTAACAAATCAAGTTCGTGACTATCTTCTTGGCTCATTCGTTCTGGATGAACTTGAAGTTTCATAATGAACTTACTTTCAGCAGGGTTATAAGCATCCAGATCATAAAATTCTTCAGTTAAACCATCAGATGCAAATGGTATAGGAACAAATCTCTGAGACGATTTTGTAATTCCCTGAAGGCGATATACTATTGATTGAAATCTGTAATTCTCCATAGCTTTTAGATAAATGAATAAGATGTGTTAAAAATTGAGATTGTTTGCACCCTATGAGATTGTTTGCACCCTATGAAAAATAAATAACTTATCTTACAAAGAATTCTTCATGTGCAAAGAAAGTCTTCCTTGTCATATAAGCAAATTAAAGTTTATGCTTATGACATATACATATGTTAGTATTCAACATTATAATTTAACTGCATATCCAACTGGAAAGTTAAATCAACTAAAGTGGGAGAAATACTGGACTTTCCACATAGGAGAAAGGGTTGTAAAATTAGGGTAACTCTAATAGCTAATCCTTCCAGTTGAAAGTCTTTTCGAGAAAAAAAATCAAGATTTAAGTTCGTTGTACTTGATAATGCTCAATGTTCCCTGCTTCTTTCCTTTCGTTTCTTCTCCAAGTACCTGTAAAGTCCTATTTGTGAAAAAATAACAAATTGAAAAAACACCCACATCAAGAACAAAAGGAGAAAAAGTTGAAAAAGAAAGCTACAATTAAGGAAATCGGAGAAGAAGAGGAGTAAACGACCATAACAACAACATCTAATCAAATTTAGATTTAATGCATGCAAAGTTACCACATCATAAACAACAAAACTGATATATAAAGAAAATTTGAAACTCGTCGAATGAAAAAAATTGACAAAACAGATCTAAAATCAAAAGGCAAAACAAAAATGAGAAGGGAGGGGAGAAGCTAGGTATGCAATTTAACTGAAAAATTTCATATGAGGGCTTGCAAAACCCTTCCATCTTGCAGAGCAATTTTTCTTGGAATAGAGAATGGATGAAAAGGAATAGGAATACATCACGTAGCTTGGACACGTGTTTCCCAGATGAATATACACATTACTTAGAAAGCCCCGAGTCAAAATAACCGAATTAATCCTATTGGTACAATTTACTTTACTTTTGGTACAACTTGTATATGTTGTGTTAGTTCAACTCTTTTAAATAATAATATGCAAAATTAATTTTTGTACTTCGTATGTTATAAACGTAAAAAAAAATATTTGTCAAATTTAGAGCTTCAATTGATTTTCATATTTCGTTAATTAAAAATAAAAGGAATAATATATTAATAGTATAAATCCATAACTAGAGTAATATCGTACTAACAAAGAAATAAAATTTAAGAAAATATGTGCATTTTAAACTTTAAAAGAACGAAGTCTTATGTTAGAATTCTATAATGGAAGGTTTTTTCATAAATTTCATCTCTTAATAATAACAATATAATTCTTCGAATTGATGAAAAATTTTGTCCAAACTTACAGCAAATGTGTATTCAATATCCAGTTTTTCATTGAAAACTGTCATAATTTGATTCTTTTATACGTCTCGCCCAAGTAGCAGGTGGTTGAGGCTCTTCATCCGCACTTCCATATTCATGTTTGGCATTAAATGAAATTATCATTAAAAAATGCAAATATTAATAGTATTTCCTTTGTAACATTGACTTTGTGATCATGATTCATGGATATCATTTAAATACAATATTTTTTTAAAAATTGTGCATGTGTTATCATTAATATTTATTTTATTCATAATATACGTGATTTGCTCAAGAATATTAGTGACTTAAAGCTAAAATTAGATGGCGCCTTAAACTTGAATTGTTAATACTTTTATAAAAATCGATTTCTTCTAGTTTTCAATTGATAGTATAACCATTCTTATTTTAAATTATTTTTCATGGATATCGTACTTCAAATATGTCAAATTTCTTCTAATAATTAATTCATTTTCATGAAAAGTTTACTTTTTTACAAATAGTATTCAGTATTTGTTAAAAAATAATAACTTATAAACTAGGATAACTTTCACATATAGCAAATAAAAAATTCATATTTGTATGCTATAGCAAAGTTTGTATAATTGTACTCCATAGCAAACATAGAAACTGTATAATTCGTTATACATATACAGTTGAAACAAATTGTATAAAACGAAGTGTATAAAACAAGAAAGAGAAAGATACTTGAGCAGACAACTGTATAAAAATGAAGTGTATAAAACGAATTTTATTATTATAAGTGTATAGAAACGATTATACACAATTTGAATTTATATAAAATGAGAAAGAGAGAAAGACTTGACAAGGAATATATAATTGAATCGAATTGTATAAAACGAGAAAGAGAGAAATTAGATACAATTTGAAAATTGTATAAAATGAGAAAGAGAGAAAGACAAAAGAAACTGGAAAGGGGAATATTTTTTATTGTATAATTATAGGTGTATATGATGAAAATATATATACATGCATGTGTATATACAATTTTCTCACGCTTTATACAAACAGAAACACAATTTATACATTTCGCTTCTGTTTGTATATGTGAGAAAGGCGAGGGCGGCGAGAGAGATTTGGGAGAGTGGCGAGGGAGATCTGGAAGAGGGGAACAAAAACATATGTATTTATACAATTTTCTCTACTTTATACAATTAGAAACAATTTTTATACACTTGTGTTTGTATAAAAAATGAGGAAGCGAGCGAGAGATTGAAGAAGAGTGGCGAGCGAGATATTTGGGAGAGAGGCGTCTGACAATTTTTTGTAAACGTTGCTATGGAGCACAATTAAATCAAACCCTAGCTACTCTATTTCACTACTAAAAAAAGGCCAAAAAGAGACTTCACGAGGTCTCTTTTCGGGAAAAAGAGACCTCAACGCTAGGTCAGTAAAATACAGGTCACTTTTTTACAGACACCTCATGAGATCGCCAAACGGAGACCTCACGAGGTCACCAACAAATTATCTGATTTTTTACAAAAAAGAGACATCATGAGGTCACTATTGTATTATTTAATTTAATTTTATATTTTTTTTATATAGAGACCACATGAGGTCTCTTTTCTGCATTTATAAAATATAAAATGTTAATTAGAGACCTCATGAGGTCTCTATTATGAAATATTTGGAAAATTAATGCAAAAGGTCTCTTTTTCTGGAAAAAAACTGGCAGAAAATTATTATTTCTGCGGCTTCTCATCACCTGTCATTTTAATTCAGTACCCAAATCAAACTCAAAGATCTTCAAAAACTCAATTGAAGCAATACATTTACTAAATATTCTCTTATCAACTCAATTGCAACTCACTTCAACATAATTATATATTAAACAAAAACCATGATATCCATAAGTTATATAATACATTCCAACGTTATCATGTATTCACAAAACAAATAATTCCCATCACAAAATTATAAAGTTAACAAAATGATCCATAAGTTAACTATCACAAGTCTAAACTTCACTAATGTGGTAGTGTGTTTGCCACATAATCATCACTTTCTTCATCACTACTAGTCTCATGGGTCATATTTCTTTGTTGACCATGCATTGGATATTGAGTAGGTTGAGATTGAGGAGGTCGAGGAGGAAAAGTGACATCACCAGAACAAGGGGGAATCCCTCCAGAAACAAGTAATGCATCGAATTGAGCCTTAAGATCCGCAAACTGTAATTCCAACCGCCTTTCCCTAGCCCGTGATTCTTCGGCTTGGCTAGATAGCTCAACAATCTTTTTCTCCATAGCCAAATTTTTCTTCATTGATTCATCATGATTTGAACTATTTAGGCCTTCAAACTCAGAAGAAAATTCACGAAAGGTTTTATGCGGCATTCCATATGCATACCCATATCTACTCGGCCCACAAGTCAAGTCTAACCAAACTCTCTCATCCTGTTCTTGAGTAAGTGGCATACCTCGATTTTCTTCCGGCAGAGTTTGTTGTAAATCCTCCAAAGCTTGAAGATATCGATTCTAAATTGAATGTTATCATATGAGAATATAAATTTAGAAACTAAGTAATTATTTTTTAAAATTAGAGACTTACATAGGTCACTTCAGCTCGCGGTTCAACCCACACGTCTGGATCTTCAGGATTTTTCTTCTTTCTAATGTGTGTTGCCTTAAATGCCTCAGCTTGAGTTATCGGTCTTCCTAGTTCCTTTTCCTACACAAAATAATAAAGTTATAATCCAGAGTAATTACATATTAATACATAAAATATATAAACACAAAGAAAAATGATACACACCAATTTCCTCCTCACACTTCCTTGACTTTGAGCCCCACTTGTGTGTAGAGAACCACCCTTAGTAGATGATCTTGTCTTTTTACCGATCTCACTCATCTGCTTAAATCTTGGATCATATTTCCAATGCACGAGTAATTTTTCCCAATCCTCCGGTAGAACCCAGCTAGGTTTGTTGTTATCTCTACGAGCTTTATTAAACAAACTAGCAAGAGTATGCGTAGCTTTCTTGTGAAAGTTTGCACAAGTTTTGGCCTCATGTTCCGGACGCCAAGCACCTTTTTTCTACAATCAAAGCATAAATTATTTTATTTGATAAGTATTAATGAAGACAAGTATTTTAATAGTGTTAAACAAATAAATTCGAATATACCCTGAACTCCAAAAATATTTGTCTCTTGAGATTGCTAGGGAACTTGCCCCATGTAGGATAAGCATCTTAATAGAGTTCTTTGATTGCCTGAGAAATGATCCCCACAACATCATCTAGATTGAAACTGTAATACAAAGTTTTAACATTTACAAGTTAAAACAAATACAATTAAATCATATAATAATAAACATACCATATTTTTAAAAAAAAACTTACGTGTAGCCTTCAGGCTCAATGACAAGTCTATTATGCATGTCCCTCATGCCAAGTTGTGTATTGTCATGATCAGGTGTATCTGACTGATTTGTGGTAGGAGTGTTAGGCTCAGAACTATTACCTTGAATGCGAAGACTCGACATCATAAGTTGTGAAGCAGATGATGATGATGGCTATGAGTTTGCAGGGTTTTGAGTATTAGTGCGAGAGACACTAGACGTTGGTCGATTATCCTCTGGAGGCAAAACACTGTATCCCTGTGGGGTAGCATTCCCTGATGTGGTCCTCATCAAAGGTACCTGAGGGGGCGGCTGAGTATATTCCAGTGGTGGATGCATATAGGTCAAAGGAGGATTAATATGTGGAGGCACGGTCGGCCTAGAATAGCAATGTGACAGAGTGTCTTTTGGTGGGAGAGATGTTGTGTTGTCTGATCTTATATGTATACCTGTTTGTTGTCTTCTAACCATACATTCTTTCTTTTTTTTCTTTTTGGGGCCATAATCAATATCTTTATTCTTATATTTACCTGTCATCTAATTAGTAACAAAAACATTCAAGTCAAAGGTTGTTAGATATTGAAGATATGCGAGACAAACATCATCCAGTAGCTTATCTAGCAGTTCATCACTTTTTAAAATAAAATAAAGCCACAACAATAAGTACAAAATAATATCTAAAACAACATCCAACAAAAGGCACACGAGAACATATGAAGTTGAAGTTATTGAAATTAAAACAAAAGGCACACAAGGATAGATTAATAAATTTCTCTCTGTATCATTAATAAATCTATAAAACACTCAATAAAGAGATACAATGGTAATTACTAATCCTCCTCGTCCTCGTCCTCATCCTCGTCCTCATTCTCATCCTCATCCTCATCCTCGTCCTCATATTCATCTTCATCCTCATCATCATACTCAAACTCATCCTCATTAATTGTTACATTTGCCCTTTCATTTGTTATTTCTTCCATATCAACCTCTTCTAATATGTGTTCAGGATGCTCTAAATTATTTTCTAATTCAATATCGACGGCGTGGTGAATAATTGATGAATCATAATTTTGGTATGCAACATCCAACACGTTTTCAACTTCCACACGTCCCATGGGTTTGGTTTTAATACCACCCACCAATCAGCTTTATTTGGACGCAAGGGATAAGGAACATAGTACACTTGCTTAACATTTTGTGCAATAATAAAAGGATCATAAGCTTCATATTGCCTTGTGTGCTTTACTTCAATGATATTATATTGTTTGATTTCTCTCGTACCTCTTTTGGGGGTTGGATCAAACCACTTGCATCTAAATAATATAATTTTTTTTGTAGGCCAACCGGAATACTCCATTTCCAAAACCTCCTTGAGTACCCCATAATAATCAACTCCATCTAGATTTCCATCACCACCTTTTACCCAAACTCCACTATTGTTAGTTTTTTTTTTAATATTTGGAGTATTCTTCAGTAGTGAATTTAAAACCATTAACAACATACTTATTCATTGAATAAGTCTTGATGGGTTCCCAAGAAATGTCCTTCAAAAATTGGTCAAATTGACCATTTCTTGTGTCATAAATCTATAAATATTTAAAAAGTAAGAAATTATCATCAATTAAATATAAATTTATTTAATAATAATAGTATTATGAAAATATTATAAGGCTTACGTAATCTTGAAACCACTTTGAGAAATTCTCAAATACTCTTTCATTGCCATATAAATGCACAAAGTAACTGTCAAAGAAGATGGATATTGAGTTAATTGTTTTGTCTTGTAATTACATATTTTAGTGAGAAAAAAACTTACTCAACAAATGGTTTAACTTGTGGGAAATTCAATAAGACATGTGTAGATGCAGACTGCAACTCAATGGCACTAAGATTCCTCCTTGTGTGTTTTTTTGAACCTTTGCCTGGTTGATTGAAGATTGATAGTGGCTTCATAGTCTCACCACCATCGTCATGGCAATTGGGTCTATTTTGAAAGCATGACACACTTCTTTTAAAGTAATAAGAACCAAAATTAGTTATCTCCCTACCAAGATGGAATTGAACCATTGAGCCTTCAACTCTATGATTTTGTTTCATGCCCCGTTTAGACTTTCCAATAGTCCTATATTATGCATTGTTATCATTGATTTAAACAACATATTAATATAAAAATATTAATAGTTAAATATTTACCTCTCAAAAGGATACATCCATCTATATTGAACCGGACCTCCAAGGCGTGCTTCATGGACTAGATGTACAGGAAGATGCTCCATCACATCGAAAAATCCAGGTGGAAGAATCTTCTCCAACTTATTCGTAATTATAGGAATATTCTGATTCATCTGCACTAGGTTGTCTTCCCTTAACGTATTAGAACACACGTCCTTGAAGAACAAACTAATTTCAGTCATAGGTTTCCAAATTCTATCAGGCAAGCCACTAAATACAACGGAGAGTAATGTTTCCATGAAGACATGACAATCATGACTTTTCATACAATGTAATTTTTCATGTTCCATATCAACACATTTTTCTAAATTTGAAGCATGTCCAGCAGGCATCTTAAGTTGCTCAACCCATTCACAAATTTTACGCTTTTGATCCCTTGTAAATGAATAACTAGCCTTAGGCTTGAAGAACTTGTTGTTCTGTTTCTCTTGCAACCATAACTCTTTTTTCCTGCAATATTCAGGTAAGTCCATTCTAACTTTAACACTATCTTTTGTCTTGCCAGTGACATCCATTACTGTGTTAAATAAATTATCAAAGTAATTTTTTTTAATATGCATGACATAAAGATTATATCGAAGAAGATTGTCCTTCCAATACGGTAACTCCCAGAATATGCTTTGTTTTGTCAAGTTATGTGCAACACCATATCCATCAAATTTATAGGGTTGTTCTTTTGCGACCTTTGGAAAGTTTTGAACCCTCTCCCAAATTTGTTCTCTAGTTAAGATTGGAGGAGGATAACCTTGTTCAACAGAATTCTTTCTAAATGAATTTTTCATACTCCTAAACTCATGATCCATTGGCAAGAACTGTCGATGACAGTCAAACCAAGAATTTTTACGACCATGTTTCAAAGTGAATGATTTAGTATTTTCCATACAATAAGGACAAGCTAACTTTCCCGCTGTCATCCACCCTGACAACATTCCATATGTTGGAAAATCATTAATTGTCCACATTAAGGAAGCCCGCAAATTAAAATTATGCTTAAGAGACACATCAAATGTTTCAACCCCTTGAACCCACAATTGTTTCAACTCATCAATAAAAGGTTGCAAGTATACATCAATCAATACTTTTGGATTCCGAGGGCCAGGAATGACACAATTGAGAAATATATATGGACTGGTCATACACATCTCGGGTGGAAGATTATATGGTGTTACAAATACAGGCCAACAAGAATATGGTGCAGCAGAAACAAAATGTGGCGTGAATCCATCTGAACATAAACCCAATCTAATGTTACGTGGTTCAGCTGCAAATT